GTTAATGGATTTAAAACTAAGGAGCCTCTAGAGGTCGTATTTGCTGATATTATAGGTCCTAAAAAACCAAGTGGGAGGTGCTCGTTATATATTAAGTATAATGGATCATTATTCTAGATATGGTTTCTGTTATTTAATGAAGAGTAAAACGGAAACATATCAAAATTTCTTTAATTGGTTGAAGTTTGCAGAGAGAAAAACTAAAAGGAAACTAGTAACTCTTGTAACTGATAATGGTACGGAATTTATAAATAATAAATTCCAAAATAGACTGAAGATGGCAGGTGTAGAACATAAAAAGTCTGCACCATATAGGCCACAACATAATTCCTTTATAGAAAGGCGAGGCCAAACACTGCAGGCAATGGCTCGTACTATGTTGTCGGATTCAGGATTACCTGAGAATTTGTGGGGAGAAGCAACAATGTGTGGTAATCATATATTGAATAATGTTGTTAACTCAACAACAGGTGAATTACCATTCACACGGTGGCATGGTAGAAAACCTGACCTAAGCTATATGCACACATTTGGAGCACCAGCATGGGTGCATATTCCCACACAACTGAGACATAAGGGACAGCATAGGGCTAAAAGATTATATTTTGTAGGTTACGAATCAAACCATAGATCTTACAGGTTCTGGGAAGAGGGCACAACTAGAATTTATTGTAGTGCTAGTGCTCAATTCCTGGAACATGTAGGATGGCACAAATTGGAACAAGATTCGAATAAAAGTGTAATTATGGAAACCTACAGGGGCCCGAGCCACCATACTAGTGATGAAGAAAATCCAATTGAAGAGAAAGTAAAGGAAGTGAAAATAGAACCAATTAAGGAAGAAATAACTGAAGAAGAAATAGATAACCAGGAACAGGTTATAGATAAGAGTCCACCTGTGAGTCCTGTTCTACCTAGACGGTCAACACAAGAGAGTAGACCACCTGATAGGTATCAGGCAAGTGTGGTTTGCCAGATTAGTAAAATTCCAACCACTGTGGAAGAACTAAAATTGTATCCTGCGAAGGATCAGGAGAACTGGCATACAGCAATGCAAAAGGAACTGAATTCATTAAAACAGATGGGAGTCTATGAGAATGCTAAATTACCTCCAGGGGAAAAGTCCATTGGCTGTAAATGGATATTTAAATTAAAAACAGGTACAAATGGGACTGTTACCCATAAGGCTAGGTTGGTAGCTCAAGGATTTAATCAAACTGCATGTGATTATGATGAAGTGTTTGCACCAAGTCTAAAAGCAACAACCTTGAGAGCAGCTTTAGTGTGGGCAGCTAAGAAAAACTATATCATAAATCATTTAGATGTAGAAACTGCCTATCTGCATGCGCCATTGCAGCACACTATATACCTAAAGAAACCTGTAGGGATTAAGGATGATAAAACTAATAATGAATGTTGGAAGCTTAAAAAGAGTCTCTATGGATTAAAACAATCTGGTTATGAATGGAACCAATATATTGTTAAGGAGTTAAACAATATAGGGTTTAAAGCAGGTTTAGCTGATCCATGTTTATTCAAAAGAGAGACAAATGGAATAGTGTCATTATTATTGTTGTTTACAGATGATATTGCCTTAATTACAAAAACTAATAATGAAGCTACTGAAATAATATCATTATTAGGAAAGAGGATAAAATTAAAGCAATTAGGAGAGATAAAACAGTATCTAGGATTGACAATAAATAAAACCAATCGTGGCTATAAGATATCTCAAGAGGATAAGATTTATCAATTACTAAAAACATATAAGATGGAACTTTGTAAACCAGCAAAAACTCCAATGAGTCAGGAATTTTGCCGGACTGATGCTCAGAGGTCAAAATTCGATAAGACTATCTATCAGTCGCTAATTGGCAGTCTATCGTACATTAGTAATTGGTCAAGGCCAGATATTGCCTATAGCGTTAATCAATTAGCTCGATTCAACGCTGAACCCGCTGAACGACACTGGCAAGCAGCAAAACGTATCTTAAGATATCTTAAAAGGACAATGCACTATGCATTGTATTTGGAGCCAAAAGATGATTTGATTTTAAGTGCATATGCTGATGCAAGTTTTGCAACAGATATAAACACTAGGAAATCAACTTCAGGAATGGCTATACTATTAGGAAAAGCATTAATTGGTTGGAGGTCAATTAGACAGCAACACATAAGTATGTCCACAATGGAAGCAGAATTTTCATGTCTATCTTTATTATGTACTGATTTAATTCTGTATAAACAGTTGTTATTGGATATGGGATTAACTGTTAATGATTCCATTGTTGTGTATGAGGACAATCAAGCAGCCATACAGATGGCTACAAATATTGCTGTAAAAACGAGATCTAAGCATACAGATCTTAGATATCTGAATGTAAGACAATCTGTAAAAGATGGTTTAATAAGATTGGAGTATTGTATGACTGAGCAAAACATTGCTGATCAATTCACAAAAGCCCAAGGTGCAGTAAAACACAAAGAGAGTTGTGATGACTATGGGTTAAAGTTGTAAATAGATATATATATTATTATATTACCCAAAAGGGGAGAATGTTAGGAATAACAAGGTCACCTAACGTAGTTTGGGTAAAATAATATATATAAGCTATGATTGTTAGTTTAAGTGTGTGTCACTTTAAATGCAAAGCATGTAATTTTGGGTGTGGTGTGAAACCACCATAAGAGGGAGCAAGACAACCTGATTGATTGCTGGCAATTAATGACAATTACTTGATTGGATGCTTGATGGTTTGTTGGCTGCGTGTTTTCCCTACCGAAGAATTGCTCAAGGAAGAGAGGAGTTTTTGAGTTCTGCATATCTCTCTACTGCGAGGAGATATATCACCGGACTGATATTTGTAAGTGTACTGACCTCTCTTTTTCGACACTGGAATTTACAAATGAATAATCCCTGGACGGACTGAACTAAGTGAATGATATATGGACTGTTTTTGACTATGCTTTAACTCTTGCTGGAATAAAACTATTTAATTAGCACTGTGCCTCTGTTTACTGAGTGTAAGCTACTAAAAAACGATATCTCACATATTCTGCCTGACTGCCCTGCAGATCTTGCTAGGGTATATCCCTAACAGGATTAATCATAGATAAATTATATATCATAAGGCATAAGAGAAAAGTTTTAACTGATAATAATGAGATAGTGATATATGTATAGAATAGGTGTATATATGACATAAATCAAAGGCTATAATAAAAAAAAAAAGATCTTGCAAACTGTAAAATAAATATGAATGTTTTTAATTTTCCTTCTTTCTTTTTCTTTCTTTTTCCTTTCTTTTCAATCTTTTCTTTCTTTTCTTCTTTCTTCTTTCTTTTTTTTCTTTCATTTATTTGTATATGTATTGTTGGCTGTTTTTAACTGTTAAAATTAATAAATTGTTTTATTAAAAAAAGAATGCTGTTTGTTGACTTCAGTTCAGCATTCAGTACAGTCATTCCCTCCAGGATGATCACTAAACTTGGCAACCTTGGCATCAATACTACTCTCCGCAATTGGATACTGGACTTCTTGACAAACGGACCACAACATGTCAAGTTGAATAACTCCACCTCATCCACCATCACACTAAGTGCTGGCGTTCCCCAAGGCTGTGTGCTGAGTCTCTTCCTGTTCTCTTTTCACCTATGACTGCAGGCCTGTGCATGGCTCTAACACCATTATCAAGTTTGCAGACAACACCACAGTGATTGGACTCATCAACGATAATGATGACTCAGAGTACAGGGAGGAGGTGCAGAGCCTGGTTACATGGTGCGCTGACAACAACTTATTACTTAACACTAACAAGACCAAAGAGCTCATTGTGGATTTCAGGAAGAAGAATGCTTACACACATTATCCTATATACATCAACGGGAGAACGTGTCACCAGCTTCAAGTTCCTGGGGATCCACCTCTCTGAGGATCTGTTTTGGCAGATCAACACCACCAGCCTGATCAAGAAAGCTCACCAGCGCCTCTTCTTTCTGAGATTACTGAGGAAGAACCACCTTTCCCCAACTATTCTGATCAAATTCTACCACTGTGCAGTTGAGAGCATCGTAACCAGCTGTATTTCAGTCTGGTATGGAAATTGCACCATGAAAGAAAGGAAGGCATTACAGAGGGTGGTGAAAACCGCCCAACGCATTATAGGGATCCCACTTCCTGCCATTGTGGACATTCAGAGGAAACGTCTGCGAAAAGCCTACAGCATCATTAAGGACTTCTCCCATCCAGCCCATAAACTGTTTACCCTTCTTCCATCTGGGAAGAGGTTCAGGTGCCTGCAGTCTAAGACTAGCAGGCTAAGGAACAGCTTCTACCATACAGCAGTTTCCTTATTGAACTCCTCAACTTGTCTATCCCTATACACACACTGATACTTTCCCTGATAATATATAACATATCTTGTATAAACTTTTGAGCATTATACTTATATTCAATATGTTCATAAACATTCTGTACGGTCGTATATATTCCTTCCATAGACATATACTCTGCATATTCATAGATATTCTGTATATCCATATATAGTTACATTTTTATTGTGTATCTGTATGTATGTGTGTGTGTATATATGTGTGTGTGTGTGTGTGTGTACACACATACACACTTTATTGCTGTTTTGCACTTCTGGTTAGATGCAAACTGCATTTCGTTGCCTGTGGTAATGACAATAAAGTTGAATCTAATCTAATCTAAAAAATGGGCCAAAATTCACTTAACTGTCTCGCTTAGCAGTGGATAGTTTGGGCTCAATTGTGGTCATAAGTCAAGGATTACCTGTACTTGTTCTACAGATTTCTTTTGCATTATTATGGATGTACTTTCTACTATATTTTTTCCTTTGTTTTCTTGCTGCTCCTGAAACATGGGTAATTTCCCAAGAGTCTTGTCTGCTTCATATTTCATACCAATCAGCTCTAGTTAAATATCTGAAAATCATAAAGTAGTTTTCATGATAATTCTTTACTTTTCCCTCTTCTAGGCAAGGCTGGTTTCTTTGTATTTTGACACAAAAAGGTATCAAGAAGCATTGCAGTTGGGTAAGTTGACTTCCTATACTGACCCTAATATTAATAAAGTTTATTCTAGATATGCGTAAAACAGTATATGCATAGAATAACTAGTTGGGAGTGATTTTTGCATGAAATGAGAACATGTTTGGGCCGGACATGGAATGAAATGGGGTTTTTTTTTTGATCTGGTAATGGTTTGAAACATCTTTGTTAGAAGCTGAAGTGTTTTCAGGGGTAGGTTATAAGAGTGAATAGTGGAGAAAAATCAAAGCCATTGGTGTTTATAGAGGCTATGAGGAGAGGGGAAGATCCTGGAAAGATTGTGGAAAGGTAGGCTGCTGAGGTGTGCCATACTGGGAAATGTGGTAGACTGGAAGAGGGAAGGGAGGTGCTGGTTCAGATCATGTGGTGGGTCATCAGGGTATGTTATACTAGGACGGGGGTTGGCAATGTGCGACTCCAGAGCTGCATGTGGCTCTTTGGGCCCTCTCCTGTGGCTCCCTGTTGGATGATCCCACCACTGGCTGGCCCCAGCCCTCACCCTCCCCTTGCAGTCACTCCTTGCCTGAGAAGGGAAGGGTGACGGCGGTGGATGGAGACTTGTTCCGTATTCCAGAGAGGGAGCAAAGTGCCCCTCTACTTGCCTCTTTTTCTGCCCTTGTTGGTGCTGCATGCACCTCGGGGAGACTCATGACTTGCTCTCAACCCCAAGACACTGGCCCGGCCCGGCCGCAGCCGATGCTCCACTTTGTAATGGGCTCCAGGAGGAGGAGTGGACACTGCCTCCCCCATTGTGAAGCGTGTTAAATTTAAGTGTGCTGCGCAAGGCGCTGCAAGAACAGCAAGCAGGCCATGGAGGTGGTGAGAGCAGCGGTGTCAGCTGCAGCTGGCCCAGCCAGTGTCTCGGGGCAGAGAGGAAGTTTTGCGTCTCCTCATATTCTTGTCGCCACCTCCATGGCCTCCTCACTGCTCTTGCAGTGCCTTGTGCAGCACACTTAAACTTAGCATGCTTCTCAATGGGGGAGATGGTGTCCCCTCCTCCTCCTGGAGCCCATTATGATGTGGAGCATCGGCTGCAGCTGGCTTGGTCAGTGTCTCAGGGTTGAGAGCAAGTCACGTGTCTCCCCGAGGTGCACGCAGCACCAATAAGGGTGGAAAAGGGCAAATAGAAGGGCGCTTCGCTCCTGCTCTGGAATACAGTCTCTATCCGCCACCATTGTCCTTCTCTTCTCAGGGCAGGCGAGGAGTGAGTGGGAGGGGATGGTGAGGGGTGGGACCAGCCAGTGATGGGTTCAGCCAACAGGAAGCCACAGCAGGGGGACGAAAGAACTTCATTTATCTGGGAACCTGAAATGACTCTTAATTTAAATCATATGGTAAAAAGCACCCAAAGAAGAAGAAGGAACAACATCAGCAAAAAACAAAAACAAAACCCCAACCCTTGCCTGGTTTTGGAAATGGTTCAAGAGGGAACACACACGCACACACTAGAGAGATGAGAGAGAGGGAGAAAGAGAGATGAGAGAGAAAGAGGGAGAAAGAGAGAGAGGAATAGATGAGAGAGAGAGGTACACCTGTTTCCCAGAGAAAAGAAAATACTGGGAGCCACAAAACCTGGGTAGGCGTGGCTGGGGGGGGGTGTCATGTAACTGGGTGGGAGTGAGTGATGTTGAGTTGGCCACACCCACCCAGGTTTTGTGGCTCCCGGTGTTTTCTGTGGGAAACGAGTCCAAATGGCTCTTTGAGTGTTTAAGGTTGCAGACCCCTGTACTAGGACAATGTGGCAGTTGAGTGGGGAGCAGGGAAGGTGCTAGAAAGATTGGAGGTGGGCAGGATAAAGGGATGTACTGTACTGGAAGTTCTTGAGGGGAGAAAAAAGGTGATATGCACCAGCTTTGTCCTACTTATCCCATGAAAACACACCCATAGAATATAGTTTTAGCTAAAACCCAGAACAAAAAAATATGTTTTTTTTCCTGTTGAACTGGTTTGGCAAAATGTCCAGAACCCAATGTGTTTGTTGCAAGCTTGAAATAAAATACATGTTCTGAATTTTTCAGATACAATTTAGAAACAAAAGTCACAGTGGCTTAGTTAAGTAGCTGGCAACTATGCTTGGTTCTTCAGGTTGTCAAGAGTAATATTGTTAAGATCTTCTTAATGGCAAATTCCATTAGTTAGGCACATATGATGTATTTGGAAGCTTTGGGAGTATTATACTGATATTGAAAAAGAGAAATACTAGTGTTCGCATCTAGTGTATCGGCTTGTATCTACTGTTTTCACTCTTCCTATACCTCTATCAAAGTAATGTATTAGATTTTTCTTTTTCTGATCAAGTTAAAGGATTCAGAGGAAGGCCTTTAACATGGTGTAAATGCCACCATCACGTTGCTTTTATCAGGATCACAGCTTTTGCGGGAGTTGAAGAAGATGGATGACAAGGCTTTGTTGGTAGAAGTACAGTTACTAGAGAGCAAGACCTACCATGCCTTGAGCAACCTGCCAAAGGCCAGAGCAGCATTAACCTCTGCCCGTACAACAGCCAATGCAATCTATTGTCCACCCAAGTTGCAGGCAGCATTGGATAAGCAATCGGGTAAGGCCTCTGTGCTTTTCATATTATGAGTGCCTTGATCTTGAGTCAACAGGAGTTGTACAAACCAGGAGAGTGTGAGTTCTAGGCCTTCCATAGGCATAAAAGTTGGCTGGGTAACTTTGGGCCAGTCACTATCCCTTGGTCCAGCTTACCTCACAGGGTGGTGGTGGTTGTGGGGAAAATAGGAGGCAGGAATATTAGGTATGTTCATACTTTGAGTTATTTATAAAACAGGATAAAAGTCTAATAGTTATAATAGTACAAAAATGCTTATAAGACAGAACCACACTGAAGCAGTTTGTCTGGGGAAAATTGTAACATGTTCCAAAGATGTTTGTAAGATAAGATAAATCTTTTTCAGAATTACTGTGGGTTGAGAATATCTGCTTTGGATGGTACAGGTAGTCCTCGGGTTACAATGACAATTGAGACTGGAATTGCCATTGCTAAGCAATGTGGTTGTAAAGCATGATATCACATGACTGCATTGCTTAGTGGCGGCAGTCCCAGATGCCATTATTAAGTGAGGACCTCATGTTATCATGACTTCTGACTCTCTGTCAGTTTCCACATTGACTTTGCTTGTGGGATGCTGGAAGGGAACATCAGAAATCACGATCACATGACTGTGGCTTGCTGCAACGTTGTAATCACAAGCATGATGGTGGGAATGTTGAAGCAGCTAGAACTCCAGGGACCTGTTTTAAGTCCCACTCATTCAGCACCATTGCAGGTTTGAATGGTTGATGAACAAGTAGTGACCCAAGGATTACCTATAATTGTTGAATTTCTTCTAGCATTTTGAAAAGAAATTGCCTTATTTTATATGAGTAATTCATGCAAAATAGAAACATCTGACTAATACTTGGGAGATTACAACAAGGATAAATAATGTTTCTTTTTATAAGTGTTAAGCTGAAGTCATTAGCAACTAGATACAGAATTTATCTGAATAGTTAGCTAATGTTCTTTTGTTGAAATTTATCCAGAGTTATACTTTTGGACATCTCTTGATCACTTCCTTGACATGGCTTCTCTGACTTAGCAGTTACTTAATATAGTTGGTGGTGTTTTGAATCTCATTCAGGCTGTTATCAAAATAATTTTAGGTGAAATTTCAAATATTGGAAGAAATTACATTTGCTATTTTGCATGAGTATATGAAAATGAATTTTGTGGGAATTAGAAAAATTTCTAGCCATATACATAAAATTAGTTTTCCTTGCCATAGCCTGCAACCCAGGGGCAGGGGATAAAAAATTGCAGTTCAAGAATTTTCTGGCTTGGAGAAATAAATAGGACTTGGCAGCAATGTTTTCCCTTATTTTGTACCCCAGGTTCCTTTGTTATAGTCAGACCTCTTTTTTATTTCACCTTTAATAGGTATTATCCATGCAGCAGAAGAAAAGGACTGGAAGACAGCATATTCTTATTTTTATGAGGCATTTGAAGGTTATGATTCTATTGACAGCCCCAAAGCCATCACTTCATTGAAGTATATGCTGCTATGCAAGATCATGTTAAACTTGTATGTGATTTTTATTCTATCACATAAGGAATGCAACATGTACTAGTTTCCTTTTTTTATACCTGCACATATGATAGTTGCTCTGATCAGATCACATGTTGCAGTTTGCAAAACTCTTGTATGAATAAGTTAAATTTCAAATTCTGATGGTGGTTGAAGAGATATGAATACTAAAGGAGGAAAAATGGAGAATTAAAAGCCAGGAAAGTGGGCAATGGATAGAATATTTGCCTCTCTCCTGTTTAGACTTCTACATATTGGAATTGCATTATCACTGGCAAAATATTACCTATTTCAGCTCAGTTCTAACTTTAAGAAAACTGGGCAGTGCTTGTTAGAAGCAAGTCCTTAAGAAGAGTGAAAAGGCCAGTATATTTGAGTTCCTTGCCATCTAACAGAATTGAATGTTTTTATAACATGCTTCCCTGGTCAAAACAGGATGTGGGCTGAGGAGGCCAAGTTAACTATTGAGATAGATGCAGGTCCTTGAAATATAATTTTTTATTACTTCTCATTTCTGACAACTGAAAGAAAGCAAAGGTTCTCGTGGTTTCTCTTCCCCAGGATGAGCAGGCATTTGAAAAAGAAAGCTCTAGAAAGATTTTTGTCCAATGACTTCTATCAATACTGTCATTTGGTTTTTGATGTTGAAACATGGCAGAATCTGTTTTGTGCTTTTGTTTATATTTATTGATCTTTTTATAATTCTGGCATTTGCAGTAGCTACAAGCCAAAGTAACTATATATGCAGAATCACAAATATTCAAATGGACAGTTACTTTTTCTCTTGATTATCTTTGGTTCATGCTTATTTGGCACTCTCACAAAGCATTTTAAATACATTAATGTAAAGATGATAGTGGAATGCAGATGTTTCTGGAAAGCGGTGATTATGTAGTGAGGTTCATTTGTAGCCTGAGTTCAGGGACTCCGTAAATCAATATCGCTTTGCTTTTTTACAGACCTGAAGATGTGCAGGCATTGGTGAGTGGGAAGCTTGCACTGCGGTATGCAGGCAGACAGGTATAGAAATCCTGAACTACTTTTTTTGTTCCTGAATTTTTTTCCAATCCTAGCTAAGTCCTATTAAAAAGTTTCCAAATACTGCTCAATACAGTTACAAATTTGTTCTGCCTCACCAGCAGCAATTCATTAGATGGCTTTTGTGTATCCTGGGTATCTTGGGAGTCAGTTGGTATGTGCTCCCTCCTGGATGCAGAAAGGTGGGCCAGCAGCATTCATTTGGTGATTCATCAAAATGGAGTTTGTTAACAAGTAGCACCCCTGATCTTTGGATGTCATTGGACCTTTGAGCCCAATTGAACTAGGAGGCCAGGGGCCTTGACTGGTGTGTGACTTGACACAGCAGTTTCCTTTTGTTCCATTTCCTGGTCTCAGTCAAGATGCAGCAGATCTCTGACATCTAGAGATTGGCAAGATTAGAGCAAATTAGGTTGTTTTGGAGTTGCTAAAGTATGAAGTATTTCTCTGTTTTGGTGAGGGAGTTAAAGTGTAGGACTCTTGAGATTTATAAAGACTTTCTTGCATTGTCAAATCCAAGGATACCAAGTGAGTGTTTTGACTGCTGCACAGATTATTGCCAGCTGTTAAGTTCATCAAGTATTCTCAGCATTTCTTTTTGCTCACAGTTTGGTAAGGCTCCAAAAGAGTTAATTACTGTACTATTTCTAAGGCTTCACCTATAGCATGTGTTTTTGGCATTTATTTTAGGTGGATTATTTCAACTTTGTCTTGACAAGGATGCTAGAGTTACTGGGTTGCCATAGGTTTTATAATTTGGCATGCTGCCCTTGGCATTGGGCAAGACAATCTCTGAATGTGCTGCTTTTTCATCCTGAAAAACACATAGTTGATATATTTGAAAAGGGCCCTTCAAAGGGCCCAAAACATGAAAGAAATTGTAGATTGGTTAAATGACAGCAAAATAATTTTATATCCTGCAACACTTGGAAGTAACAGGCAACAGAGAAAAAGCAGAACTGCTTAACTCATTCTTTGCACCAGACTTCACACAAAAAGAAACTATAGCTCAACCCACCAAAAACATAACTGTAAAAGACAGACCAGAAATAAAAGTAAAAAAAAAATGGTAAGAGAACACCTGTCTGATCTTAATGAACACAAATCACTGTGACCTGATGGATTACATCCCAGAGTTTTAAAGGAGCTGGCAGAGGTCATCTCAGAACCATTGCACCATGTCTTTCAAAAATCCTGGAGCACCAGAGAACTACCAGAGGACTGGAAAAGAGCTGATGTGGTTCCCATCTTCAAAAAAGAAAAAAATAACAGACCCAGGAAACTATAGACCAATCAGCCTAACATCAATACCCAGGAAGATACTGGAAAAGATAATAAAAAACAGATCTGACAACATCTAGAAACAAGTAAAGTAATAACTAGCAGTCCGCACGGGTTTGTTAAAAACAGATCATGCCAATCCAATCTTATTTCATTCTTCAACACAGTGACTAAATTAGTAGACCAGCAAAATACTGTGGACATAATATATTTAGATTTCAGCAAGGCATTCAATAAAGTAGACCACAACCTACTTCTTAGTAAGCTAGAAAAAAGTGGAATAGATAGCACCACCACTAGATGGACTTGCAACTGGCTGGCAAACCATACCCAACGAGTAGTCCTTAATGAGTCTAAGTCTACATGGAGGGAAGTAAGCAGTGGGGTGCCACAAGGTTCCATCTTTGGCCCAGTACTCTTCAATATCTTCATTAATGACTTTTATGAGGGAATAGAAGGGGAACTTACCAAATTTGCAGATGATACTAAGCTGGCAGGAATAGCTAACACCCAAGAAGATAGGCTCAAGGTCCAGATGGATCTTGACAGACTAGAACACTGGGCCATATCTAACAAAATGAAGATCAATGTAGAGAAAAGTAAAGTCCTACACTTAGGCAAGAAAAACCAAAAGTACACATACAGACTGGGTGAAACCAGGCTCAATAGCCGTAACTGTGAGAGGGATCTTGGAGTCTTAGTGAACAACCAGCTAAACATGAGCCAGCAGTGTGCAGCAGCCGCCCAAAAAGCTAATGCAGTCCTAGGTTGCATTAACAGAGGAATACAATCAAGATCAAGTTGAGGTACTAATACCACTCTATAAAGCCTTAGTAAGACCACACCTAGAGTACTGCATCCAGTTTTGTTCACCACATTATAAAAAAGATGTTGAGACTCTATAAAAAGTATGGAGAAGAGCAACCAGGATGATTAGGGGACTGGAGACAAAAACATGAATGGTTACAGGAACTGGGCATGGCTAGTCTTGTAAAGAGAAGGACCAGGGGAGACATGATAGCAGTCTTCCAATATTTGAGGGGCTCCCACAGGGAGGAAGGGGTCAAGTTATTTTCTAAAGCTCCTGTAGGCCAGACAAGGAATAATGGATGGAAACTGAACAAGGAAAGATTTAACCTGGAAACAAGGAGAAACTTTCTGACAGTGAGAACAATCCACCAATGGAACAGCTTGCCCCCGGAAGTTGTGGGAGTGCCATCACTTGAGACTTTCAAGAAGAGATTGGACTGCCATTTGTCAGAAATGGTGTAGTGTCTTCCGCTTGGGTGGGGGGTTGGACTAGATGACCTACAAGGTCCCTTCCAACTGTTTATCTGTTATCTGTTTAAACAGCTTGATTCATTTGAATTATATAACGGCCTGTTTAGGTTTCTTTTTTTTCGTGGAATGTGATGCTATAGATCTCTTTATTTGACCTTATTAGTCTTAATTTGGTTTCCCCAATAGTTTCTGTTCATGACTAGCTGTAGGCTGTTAACTGCTACTGCAAGTCTTTTAATCTTATGTGGAAACTATTATTTGCAAGTTTTGCTCACTAATTTCAAAAGCTATTTTCTAAGAAGTCCACATTCTTGTTTATAGATAGTTAATATTCAAAGATAGAAAGTACTGTTTCTGTAGTCAATCAGCATTGCCTGGCAACAAGGTCTGTTGTAAATTCCTTTCAGAGTTGTTTGACTTGCTCAGCCTTCACTGACAATATATTTTTCTGGAGAAAGAATTGCTGCTTCAGGGTGGGAAGCTAAGGGAGCATTCTGATCACCTGATTCCTTGTTTATGAGAGGTAGACAGTTCTATAAATGGTTGCCTTTCAAGTTTTGTTTCCAAATCCCAATTCAAATGGTCATATGTATTTTAGGTGTGGATAAAGTAAGTAGGATTTGTCTTGTTAGTTTTATTTACAGTTTTCTTCTCCAGGTGTAAACGTATCTGTCTGCTTTGTGATTTAGGTAGAATCTGGACTCCTTTCTGTTGCATGGGGGAGGGAGATTTTGACTTATCTTGAGAGGTTACATTAGATTGAATTTTAGGATTTTCAGCTGTCTAATCTTCAAGGGAAAAATAGGGATAGTTAACACTGAGCAGCAGATTGAAATAAAATAAGAATAATATATAGATAAAATGAGAAAAAAGTACCAAACAGATTGTCCTGTCAACTCATAGGGCCATTTTCCTACTTCCAATACTAGCTAGCAGTTCTGTTTTTTAATAAGTTTAGATCCTTTTTGATGGATTTCAGTTACGGAGAATACTTGTGGGCTTTCAGGTACTTCATTGTAGCAGCCTAAATTTCTGCTTCTATGTTGGGATTATTTTGTCTTGATAGTGTTTTTTTCAACTTAATATGAATGCTTCTGTGATTTAACAACTGCTTGAGTTAAGCGAGGGTAGAAGAATTAAAGCAGTCTTAGTATTTTCATCAAGTATCCTTCCTGAATTACATTCTGTCCAACTAAAGCACTTTTCTCACATGTGAACATCACAAGCATTACTTGTATTTAATGATTCAGAAGAATATAAATGTTGGCTCTACTCTGTTTTACAGACAGAAGCACTGAAGTGTGTAGCTCAAGCCAGTAAGAATCGATCATTGGATGATTTCAAAGAGGTAAACAAACATAATAAGGAAAATAGCAATAGCACTTAGACTTATATACTACTTTACAGCCCTCTCTAAGTGGTTTACAGAGTCAGCATATTGCCCCCAACAATCTGGGTCCTCATTTTATCCACCTCAGAAGGATGAAAGGCTGAGTCAACCTTGAGCCTGGTGAGATTTGAACTGTCAAATTGCAGGCAGCCAGCAGGCAGCAGAAGTAGCCTGCAGTACTGCACTCTAACCACTGTGCCACCGTGGGTTGAATATCTTGGGGTTGAATATCTTGGGGTTAGATTAATCCTTGGTCTTAGAAAAGGAACTTCTACACTGAGAAGCAGTAAAAAAAGGGAGAGATGTCTTCACTATACCCAGCCTTTTAAGTCTTCAAGATACGCTTGCTGAACCCATTTGGGACTGGGTGGACTGGGCTGTGATTATTAAGCCCACAGTTTTCAATCATAATAACTGAAGAGTCTGATTTCTTCAGAAGGTGCACTTTGGAGTGCAGACTTTTCTTCACTGAAAGTCAGAAGAATCAATCACTTGGATCCTGCTATTGTTTGATAGGTCAAAGCATGTGGCAATAAAAATATTCTGAAGATAACCTGTTTTACAGATGTTGCAGGCTCACTATGTACAAATCAAAACCAAACTAGAAAACAAATTGGAACAGAAAGAAAACTTAATAAATTCTGGTGCTGGGAAGTAAAGTACAATGTTCAAATGTTCCGTTCTCCAACTTGGAAAAATGTTTCTATCTGTATGCAGATATATCTGTGGGAAAGCTTTGAATATCTTGATTTGCACAACTGATTAACGGACCTGAACTAGGGGCTTATCTACACAATTAAAGTTCAGTTTGGCTATGGTTACCTCAGTATAAGAAGCTATTTGGCTCCATAGTGGAAATGGTGGTTTTAAGAAGGTGTGGACAGGCTTGCTGCCCCTCTTGGCATCTCTTCAAAGGACACAACAGGTTCAGTGAATATGCCCACACCCCCTCTGAAGCACTATTTTTGCTTTAGATCTAAACAAATATACAGGTGAAACTCAAAAAATTAGAATATCGTGCAAAAGTTCATTTCAGTAATGCAACTTGAAAGGTGAAACTAATATATGAGATAGACTTATTACATGCAAAGCAAGATAGTTCAAGCCATGATTTGTCATAATTGTGATGATTATGGCTTACAGCTCATGAAAAACCCAAAACCACAATCTCAGAAAATTAGAATATTACATGCAATCAATAAAACAAGGATTGTACATAGAACAATATCGGACCTCTGAAAAGTATAAGCATGAAGTGCTCCAAAATCTCCTGGTAGACGGCTGCGTTGACCCTGGACTTAATGAAGCACTGTGGACCAACACCAGATGACATGGCTCCCCAAATCAACACAGACTGTGGAAACTTCACACTGGACTTCAAGCATCTTGCAGTGTGTGCCTCTCCATTCTTCCTCCAGACTCTGGGTCCTTGGTTTCCAAATGAGATGCAAAAGTTGCTCTCATTGGAAAAGAGGACTTTGGACCACTGAGCAACAGACCAGTTCTGTTTTTCTTTAGCCCAGACGCTTCTGACGTTGTTTGACAAGAGGTATACAACATTTGAAGCCCATGTCCAGGATCCGTCTGTGTGTGGTGGCTCTTGATGCACTGATTCCAGCCTGAGTCTACTCCTTGTGAAAGTCCCCAACACTTTTGAATGGCCTTTTCCTGACAATCCTCTCCAGGCTGCGGTCATCCCTACTGCTTGTGCACCTTTTTCTTCCACACTTTTCCCTTCCACATAACTTTCTATTAATGTGTTTTGATACAGCACTTTGGGAACATCCAACTTCTTTTGCAATTACCTTTTGAGGCTTTCCCTCCTTATGGAGGGTGTCAATGATGGTTTTCTGCACAACTGCCAGGTCAGCAGTCTTTCCCATGATTGTGATTCCTACTGAACCAGACTGAGAGACCATTTAAAGGCTCAGGAACCCTTTGCAGGTGTTCTGGCTGAATTAGTTGATTAGAGTGGGACACGTTGAGCCTAGAACCTTTTCCCAATATTCTAATTTTCTGAGATTGTGGATTTGGGTTTTTCATGAGCTGTAAGCCATAATCATCTCAATTATGACAAATCACTGCTTGAACTATCTTGCTTTGCATGTAATGAGTCTATCTCAAATATTAGTTTCACCTTTTAAGGTGCGTTACTGAAATAAATGAACTTTTGCACATATTCTAATTTTTTGAGTTTCACCTGTACATCACTAGGACATATAATTGTTGCAAAAGTTCAAATAGCGACTTGAAAGTGCCTGTTGGACGCTCATAGGTCTGTGTGTCTTGAGTGTGATTTTCATTAGTCAGAAATAACCATTTTAGTCCCATATGTAATTCATTTTTAATGAAGATTTCATCATATTAAAGATGATTCTCAAAATAGACATGAATGGGATGAACCTGTTCAGGATGGTTGTGAGGTTGCCTTCTGCATTCAGTAATGATTGAATTTGCTCTGCCATAGGCTCTGAAAGATTATAAAGTGGAACTCAGGGATGACCCCATCATCAATACACATTTGGGAAAACTGTACGATAACTTATTGGAACAAAACCTCATCCGTGTTATTGAGCCTTTCTCCAGAGTGCAGGTAAAAAGCTGCAGAGCTTCCCATATGCATCCCTTTCTGCTTTTATTAAATCATTGTTGTTCTCTTTTCCCTTCAAATAGGGCATGGAGAGTTTATGCTAAAACCTTGGCACTTTCATATGCACTAAACTAAGATTTGTTTCAAATTTTTTAAACCCTTTTATATCTCTGTCTTGTTGAACAAGTCCGTATGACATATAATTATGTCTTATTTGGAGAATTTTGATGTTCCTTCTGTTTCTTTTGGATAGAGTACAAAACCAAACCGGGTCTAAACTATTATTCTAGCATCAAACTTAATCACAAGCCCTGGTTAAAATGAGGAAGAATTTGTAAACTAATTGCAACTTGTGGTTGGTTGTATTAAAAAAATCAGCCATTGTTTCTTTTCTCACACTGCGTGTTTATTTAATTGATTTATTTGGCCACCGTTTATGCATTAACTAAACCAGAAAGGAACATACCATACTATGGTATGACATAGAATTTTAGTGGAAAAGCTGTATAGACATAAGTAAAATAAATAATAAAATAATTTTGTCTAAACCAGGCTACTCTGAATTGTTCAGTTACATGGGTTTTAGGACTGGGATAGGAATTTCAGGGCAAAATGAATTGGGTGAAACTGTTCCAAATCTAGAATAGTAGTTTTCAATATTGGGTCAATAAATGGATTTAGTCATCAGATTCTTATGCTGTGTTCCGATTCTGTAGGAATTGTTTGATCAGAAATACTAAAAGAATCCTTAGTTACTAAATTGTTTGCCATGCATATGTAGTTGAATTATAGATTCTAAATAATTGATTATAAAGCTAATAAAATTATTTCAAGACAGGAAGATTTTTTTAAAAAGAACTGTAGTATGGGTGTAGAGTCTCAATATTTTTCTTCATCAAATTAATAAAAATGTAATTGCCAAAATTGACCTTGTGTTTCATTATGAAGAAAAAACTGTCAAGTGTGAATCAAATAACCAGAAGCACTAACACCAAAGTTAAAATTATGTAGAGAATAAAGAAGGCAACCCTGACAGATTACCAAAGTGACAAGCGGAAAAGCATATCTTAAGTCCACAACAAGCAGAAAATATGTGGAAGAGGCTCAGGATAGCTCCCTAATTCACATGAATATAAAAAGGCAAGGAAGTACAGCATAATCAGACTTGTAAGATTCTGTTATCATAGCCACTCTTAATGAAAGTTGTTTTAGCTTTCCTGTGGAGTGGATTCCTGGCCTGATCTATGTGGTAAGGCTGACAAATTAGCACCATCTGTTGTGAATACAGGGGTAAAGCCAAATTGTACAAAGATTAATAGATAATTATTCCATATTAACTGTTTCAGAACAATAGCAGTTCCACTCACTGTGGCCCCATCTCAATTTCTTTTGCAGATTGACCACATATCTAGCCTTATCAAGTTATCAAAGGTAAGAGTTCAAATGTAGCATCCTATATGATGATGCTTTCTGTATTTTTTGTTAAAATATAAGTTATAGTTGTGAAAAAGCCACATTAATTTTCTTCAGCAACAGAAGTGATTTAGGAAGAAATTTCAAATTCAGTTTCAACTCTTATAAAAAGACATACGGGTAAGTAATTATGTTTTTGGACAATTTAAATAAAACAAAAAACTTACTAATCCTGAAATACTAGAACTGCACATGGAAATAAGCTGTGTGGAACACACTAAGCAGATATACATGCATTGAACTGTAAAGGTTATCGAACTTTGGCAACTGTTTCTTTGAAATAAATAATGGAAAATACTTCTTCAAGGAAAAAAAGGGGGGGTATTATTCTAAGCAGTCTCTCACTTGAGCATTTCCTGGTTCAATTTCAGGCAGATGTGGAAAGAAAGCTCTCTCAAATGATCCTGGACAAAAAATTCCATGGTGAGTCTTCCGCAATTCTCAAGAATGAAGGAGTTTGTTTCTGTCCATTGCAATGTTTGTGTTTCTTAGGTTTCCTGAATAAATATGAAGTACCTCAACAAGCATCAACAATAAGTTGTATTATACTGAGGAATTCCCACAAGCTTTAGGGTTCTTTATCCTCATCTTTAAAAGTTCTGTACTTGGAAACTATACAGACGGAGTCTAATATTTATTTATTAAATGCATAATTCAAGCTAGTCTACTTGCTTTGCTCCTTTGAAGTCTGTCAAAATTAAAGAGGAACACTTCATGTTAGAGATGTAAGTTATCCAAAAATCTTAATTGAAACTTTTCTCTCATTAGGGATTCTTGACCAAGGTGAAGGTGTCTTGATTATTTTTGATGAACCACCTGTAGACAAAACATACGAAGCCGCTCTGGAGACCATTCAGAATATGAGTAAAGTAGTGGATTCATTATACAACAAAGCTAAGAAGCTCACATAGGTGAGGGGCTCTTTCAGCCCACAGTTAAGGCTGTAACAGATTTTTGCACCCCCTCCAGAAGAATTGTTCTGTTGAATGATATGGCTCCGTCTTTTATTTTCCTTGCAGAGTTGAAAACTGTTGGCTGTTTGGAGCATTGGTGTGTGAAATGGGGGAGGGGGGAACAAAAGGTTTAGAAGACTGGTAGAGGGGGTTGTTCCCCACCCTCCTTTTACTCCTCACTCAAAAAGTTTAAAACAGCCTTCCCCAACCTGGTGATCTCCAGATGTGTTGGAACTACAGGTCTTTGAATTCCAATCAACATGGCTAGGAATTCTAAGACTTGTAGTCCCAATACATCTGGAGGCCACCAGGACACGGAAGGCTGTTTTAAGACTTTCTCATCTGATCCATCTTGTCTATACAATTGTGTGTTCCAGTTTCCATGTAACCTTTTACCTGTTGAATTTTGTACTGGGATGAGGAAATGTTTAAAAAAGGGGGAAAATTGTGGGGGGGGGGGAGCAGTGGCATCATCCTAAATAAAAGGACTGAGATTATGCTACCTTTAAAAATGAACAACAAAATTGCATTTCATTTTCTTGAAGGTAGCAAAGGGGTGGGCCAAGATGTCTTTGTTAGTCACAAGAACCCAGCCACACAAATTTCCTGCATAGAAGGTATTTCTTATGTGCATTGTGTCCAACATGATTGTTCACAGGTGTACATGCATTGGGTAATCAAGATTGATTACTGTTTCTCAGTATATGCCCAGGTAGCAAATATGTCAGGATTCTGGTAGTTACTCCAATTAAATCATGAGCCTCGAGCCACACTCCCAAAACTAAAAAGGATTTATTTGAAGTTAACTTTCTATGTCCGGCATTTGCCTGGGTGTAGCCAATTCTGAGATAAGTAATTCACTGTCACCCTTATCCTGCTTTTCCCCCCACCCCTCAGGAGTTTATGTTGATTTCTAGAAATTGGGACCTACAGATGAAACTCAAAAAATTAGAATATCATGCAAAAGTTCATTTATTTCAGTAATGCAACTTAAAAGGTGAAACTAATATATGAGATAGACTCATTGCATGCAAAGCAAGATAGTTCAAGCAGTGATTTCTCATAATTGAAATGATTATGGTTTACAGCTCATGAAAAACCCAAATCCACAATCTCAGAAATTTAGAATATTACATGCAATCAATAAAACAAGGATTGTACATAGAACAATATCGGACCTCTGAAAAGTATAAGCATGCATATGTACTTAGTACTTGGTTTGGGCCCCTTCTGCAGCAATTACTGCCTCAATGCGGTGTGGCATGGAAGCTATCAGCCTGTGGCACTGCTGAGGTGGTATAGAAGACCAGGATGCTTCAATAGCGGCCTGCAGCTCTTTTGCATTGTTCGGTCTCATGTCTCTCATCTTTCTCTTGGCAATGCCCCATAGATTGTCTATGGGGTTCAGGTCAAGTGAGTTTGCTGGCCAATCAAGCACAGTAATCCCACTGTCATTGAACCAGGTTTTGGTGCTTTTGGCAGTGTGGGCAGGTGCCAAGTCCTGCTGGAAAATGAAGTCAGCATCCCCATAAAGCTCGTCTGCAGAAGGAAGCATGAAGTGCTCCAAAATCTCCTGGTAGATGGCTGTGTTGACCCTGGACTTAATGAAGCACAGTGGACCAACACCAGCAGATGACATGGCTCCCCAAATCAACACAGACTGTGGAAACTTCACACTGGACTTCAAGCATCTTGCAGTGTGTGCCTCTCCATTCTTCCTCCAGACTCTGGGTCCTTGGTTTCCAAATAAGATGCAAAAGTTGCTCTCATCAGAAAAGAGGACTTTGGTCCACTGAACAACAGACCAGTTCTGTGTTTCTTTAGCCCAGGTAAGATACTTCTGATGTTTGTTGTTCAGGAGCGACTTGACAAGAGGAATACGACATTGGAAGCCCATGTCCAGAATCCATCTGTGTGTGGTGGCTCTTGATGCACTGACTCCAGCCTGAGTCTACTCCTTGTGAAAGTCCCCAACACTTTTGAATGGCCTTTTCCTGACAATCCTCTCCAGGCTGCGGTCATCCCTACTGCTTGTGCACCTTTTTCTTCCACACTTTTCCCTTCCACATAACTTTCTATTAATGTGCTTTGATACAGCACTTTGGGAACATCCAACTTCTTTTGCAATTACCTTTTGAGGCTTTCCCTCCTTATGGAGGGTGTCAATGATGGTTTTCTGCACAACTGCCAGGTCAGCAGTCTTTCCCATGATTGTGATTCCTACTGAACCAGACTGAGAGACCATTTAAAGGCTCAGGAACCCTTTGCAGGTGTTATGGCCAGACATCATATTCTTCCGACTAAAATCGGAATTCCAATTTTTTTCTTTTCCGAACAGTGATTCCTACTTTTTTTTGTTTTTGCCATAAACTCTCGATCCTTTTCTGTTACGTCAGACCTTTCCGCGCCTCCGATCAATCCGATCAGTACTGCAAAAACTAGCCAGGTTACGGAGACGATCTCAGGACTACGGTCCAACTCATCACGTCTACGCAAGAGATACTTCTAGCAGAACACAGCACAGGGGCGGGCCGTGCAAAGCTCCAGAGCTAATGGCTGGTGCATTGCAGCAGCAGTTTTGTGCCTGGTTCCCTTTCCTCGCCATGCAAGCAGCCTGCGGGGATCATTAGGATTACATACCTTCCCTGCTGAAGGCGAGGGCAGAGCTGTTCAGCAGCCGGCTCCTTTTGCATCTGGCTTCTTCGCTCACTGTCCCACAAAACGGCCCAGACTGCGGGAGCTACACGCTTCCCTTTTTCCTTTCTTGCAGCTTGAACCACCTGGAGGAAAGGTGCCAAGACGCCTCAGGCGCTGCCTGCGAGGGAGCCTCTACGCGCTGGCTGTGACAGGGCTCGAGCAAGCTTCTCTCCCGCTCTTTGTGGCGGCTCCGAAGGCTTTGCGCCCCTCCCTTCCCGTGCGGTCCTCCTGACCTGCTTGTGACTCACTAGAGCGCAAGTGGGATTGCGTGCTTGTGTGTGTGTGTGTGTGTGTGTGTGTGTGTGTGGTGCGTGCTGGGTGCAAGGACGCTGGCAAAGGACGACGCGTCTTTCCGTTCGTCGGGGCCAACTACAACAGGCGGAGAAGCCACTCTTCCCCCTTCGTCGCCGAAAGCAACAGAGGCACCAAGGCTCGCTTCCCATTCCTGCCAATATTGCCCCACTTTCCCTCTTCTCTTCCCACGCACGCAGCCGGCTTCAGGTGATTTCCTCCACCCCCGGCCCCGAAGGAAGCGTCTTTGGAGGCAGCGCAGGAACGAAAATGCTCGGCTGAGTGGAAGAAGAAAAGCTTATACTTTCTCAGGAGTTACAGAGCGCAGAGACAAAGGCTCGGGAGGAAAAGAGCTTCGTTCAGCTATTGTTAGCCACCCGGCGACGAACTACACGGATTACTAAGCAACTGAAAGATGCTGCTTCGCTCAAGTGACAGATTTCTTAAGGCAGAGGGAAGGCGGTTTCTCTTTAGGAAGTTGGATTTCACTGCTCTTTGTGTAGCTGTGTGGGATACCTGTAGCGAAGATTTGGCCAACAAGACTTAACGTTGATATTACTTCCTCTTCTGTGACTTTAAAGGTCAAATAATAGTTGCAGCCCCTAACCCACTATCATAAAAGATAAGGCATATTGCACTGCCTGAGCTTCCCACTTTAACATGTGTGGCACCTAAGTTTGTGGCACCTTAAAAAACCAGCAAAATGTTATGGCACCTTTCATAGAAGAATGCTTCATTAAAATGATGGTTGCAACTACTCCACATTTCTGCAACATGGTCCCCTCCAGCTGTTTTGGATTTAAAAGCAAAGAGGGCCAATCTGAAACTGAAGAGGAAGAAAACTGTAGCCAAAAGACAGGCCAGACTCAAAGTTATGCTATCAGCTCAACTAGCTAGAAAGAAGCATAGAGAAGCAATGCTGATCAAAGGAAAGGGAACAAAGAGAAAGTCCAATTAGAGGTGAAGCATTGTGGCTGTTTTTCTGTCTGTTAAGCAGGGTTGGTTTGTTGTTTTTGTTTGTTTGTATTATTTTTTTAAATGTGAAATCCTTTGCCCGAGAGCATTCTCATGGTGCTTTTTATTATTATTTTTTGTCAAACAATAAAACTATCATGCAGACTCACCTTGAAAAATCACTTTTGATTACTTCACTCTGCTAAAGCTTCAAGGAGGCGTTGCCAATTTAATTCCCACCGGGGCGCTGTGCGGACCGCGGCGGGTGCTTAGGCAACCCCTGCACCCCTGGCTACTTTTCAGATTTTTTTTTCAGAGGGGAATATCATGCCTGTATGGCTTAATTAGCTGATTAGAGTGGGACACTTTGAGCCTAGAATATTGAACCTTTTCCCAATATTCTAATTTTCTGAGATTGTGGATTTGGGTTTTTCATGAGCTGTAAGCCATAATCATCTCAATTATGACAAATCACTGCTTGAACTATCTTGCTTTGCATGTAATGAGTCTATCTCATATATTAGTTTCACCTTTTAAGGTGCATTACTGAAATAAATGAACTTTTGCATGATATTCTAATTTTTCAAGTTTTACCTGTATTAGGCAAGCTGTATTTTGGAGGATTTTATTATTGAACAACTACAGTGCTCTTGGTCAATCCAAAATGTTAATAAACCTCAAACCTGAATATTTAAGAAAGTAATAGTGAGGTTATGGCTTTCTTAGGAGAATATATGTGCACAATTATTGGGCAACTATTAGTGTTCAGAATTATTATGCAACTAAATGAAAAATGAAAATTTTCCCATTACGCTCATTTATTTTCATCTGTAAAAGTGAGAATTATAAACAACTCAAAATTTACAAATAAACATTTCTGACAGTTCAAAAAAAATCAGTGACCAATATAGCCACCCTTGTTTTCAATAACAGTCATAAACCTTCCATTCATGGAGTCTGTCAGTTTCTTGATCTGTTGACGATCAACTTTTTGTGCAGCAGCAACCACAGCCTCTCAGACACTGTTCAGAGAGGTGTACTGTTTTCTGTCACCATAAATTTCCCATTTAAGATTGGCCCACAAGTTCTCAATAGGGGTTAGGTCAGGTAGAGGGGTCATGTCATTATTCTTTCATCTTTAAGGCCTTTACTGACTAACCAAACAGTGGAGTACTTCGATGCATGTGATGGAGCATTGTCCTGCATAAAAATCATGGTCTTGAAAGATGCAGACTTTTTCCTGTACTGCAGCTTGAAGAAAGTGTTTTCTAAAAACTGGCGGTAGGTTTGGGAGTTGATTTTGAGTCCATCTTCAACCCCAAAAGGTGCAACTAGCTCATCTTTAATAATACCAGCCAATACCAGTACCCCACCTCCACACCTTGCTGGCATCTGAGTCAAAGTGGAGCTCTGTGCCTGTTACTGATCCAGCCACAGGCCCATCCATCTGGTCCATTAAGAGTCACTCTCATCGGTCCATAAAACCTTTGAAAAAATCTGTCTTCAGATATTTCTTGGCCCAGTCTTGGTGTGATGACCCAGGGTGGGATACAAAACAAACACAGTCACAGAAAACAGGTGAAGCCCCTTTTATTCCTTCACTTTGCTTCCAAGCTCCGAATATTCTTGATGGAAGACAAAAAAACTCCCACACAGTTACAAGAAGAAGGAAAAAAGCAACACAAACCAGGCAAGATAAGGGCTGGAGGACATTCACAGATAACACACACTGGGAAGGACGCCAAACTCAAGAGAGGAACAATAAACTAGAGATATTTCCACGCTTTGTTTTCAGCACTTGCCTGTACACATGTCCGACCTCTTATTCAGTTGTCACAGCTGCAGCCCATGAAGAGGA